TATATATATATATATATATATATATATATATATATATATATATTGCAGATAAAATTTTGAGAATATTTGCATAAAAGATGAAATAGTAAGCAAGCAAGTAGACAGGTGCGCGCAATATATTCTCACATATTTGTATTGAAGTAAGCAAAGCTTCAAGACACTATTGAGTGACTATAAAACTTTTCTTTCTATCTAATTGCTACATTCCTTTGTGGAAAATCAATCATTTATGAGTGAGTCACTTGCTAAAAAATTTTTCAAGTGATCAAATTATAAAGTAATAACGGAAAAAGTCAACGTGTTATTTCACTTCAAGACTTATTTGCAGTTCAAACTTTGACTTTTTTGACCCGGAAAACCTCGTAATTCTCTGCAATATGCTTGGATATTAATTTGTTCACGAGAAGATTTCATTTTTGATTTTGAATTTCGAATCAAGACATATTTTTTATCCACTTTGTAAACTTGTTGGTTTTTTGCGGCTTCTTCTTAAAATCGTTGTCTTTACGACTTAAGATTTCTGGGCATAAAATAACTAGCATTTCATCATTTATATATTTACTGACTAGCTAAACTTACTAATTTAATTACTTACTTATCAATCTCCGCAGTGTTCTCGCTAGCAATTATTTATTTCGAAAAAAGAGAGAAATAATTCTATGCTTTATAAAAAGCATTTACGAGTTTTTGGAATTAATTTTTCAAAGTTAGTCACTTAAAGTTTGCGTATTTGTTCAGTTATTTCATATATTCACTAGTTGACTAGCAGTCGATGAATTAATTTGAATTGGCTCAATTTGGATGACTAAATTTAGATGTAAATTTAACAATTTCTTTTTTAATAATCTGCCAAAGAAAAAAGAAGATGAAATTGTCGGGTTTTTATTTTCAGATAGATTTTTTGTTGTTGTGTGCCATTTTATACAGTTAATATTATTGTTGACACTAATGCAGATTGATGACATACTTTCATTTAATTAATTTAATCAGTAATTCATTCATTAACAGAAATTTGATCGATCTAATCAATTGATCATTAGTATTTGATTAATTCATTTGTTCGATTATTCATTCACTGAGTGTAAGAGATGAAATACGTACGTGTCACTCTCGCTGTCGTTCATTCTATCATTCATTATCTATCTATCTATCTATCTATCTATCTATCTATCTATCTATCTATCTGCTTATTTACCTACATACCTATCTACCTATCCACCTATCCACCTATCTACCTATCCACCTATCCACCTATCTACCGATCCACCTATCTACCTAACTTATCTATCCATTCATCAACTCATTCATCCATTCATCCATTCATCAACTCATTCATCCATTCATCCATTCATCCATTCATCCATTCATTTATCCATTCATTCAATCATTTAGGAGTCAGTTGTCTAGTAGGCTAAATTTTGGTTAATTTGTGTTGAATTTGTCTTATGCATACTATTTCTGTCGCCTCATTACCAAAATAGACTTTAAAATTGATAATGAAATTTTCAAAATTGCAGCCGATTCATTGCAGTTACAATTGTTAGTTCTTATTTAAAAGTATATATAACTTCATTTGATGCTATCATCTTCAGTGGATACTATAATTATTGTTAGATATATCTATATCACCAATAAAGTAAGCAGTAAGCTGCTAAAATTCAAATCGAAGTTTATTTCGAATCGACAGTTCAGTTTTTATTTCGAAAATATTTTCTGTTGTGTATTTGTTCTTCATTATTACTGGTAATTCATAATCATTGGTTACAGTAGCATTTGTTATTAAAAATAATTTTAAGATAATCGCAGATGTTTTATTATTATTGTAATTTGAAAATTTGAGCTGACAAAAGAGAATTAAACGCTTTAAAATTA